ACGTACAATTAACAAGGCAGGTAAGAAAGAGAGGATTAAATTAAGGAACAAATAAAGGAAAGGACACGTTAGGAGAAAACTGGAGACCCAGATGACTCGGTAAGGCTGAAAGGACACGCTTCTTGAGCGTGAGAGTTGTTAGTGAGAAATATATGAGCTTGGCAGTGAGATAGTGGAGGTAGGCTTCAATCAGGTGTAGATACGATAAGAGAAACGAGAGGAAGGAGTCCTTGCTTCATAGGATGTGCACGAGAGAGAGAGAGAGAGAGAGAGAGAGAGAGAGAGAGAGAGAGAGAGAGAGAGAGAGAGAGAGAGAGAGAGAGAGAGAGAGAGAGAGAGAGAGAGAGAGAGAGAGAGAGAGAGAGAGAGAGAGAGAGAGCCAGACTTAGTTTGCAGCTTCATTAGAAGCTTCAGTACCACTCCAGTGAACCCTAGTCTCAGGTACAAAAATAAAACAGAGAAAAAAGAAAAAAATAGAGATAAAGAAAAAGGATGAGATAACGACACAGAAACAGAACGAGAGAGAGAAAAAAATAAAAGACAGAAGTGTAAAAACCAACACCATTCAAAACACAACCACACAGCCCTGCTCCCCTTCTCCCCCTTCTCCCCATCTCCCCTCACCCCCCTGCTCTCCCCCTCTCTCCCCCCCCCCCCCAAGGCACGCATCACCAGGCCTCTCTCAGCCACCTCAATTATTCCCAACTAACAGCTACGCCGCACCGCATAATTAGTCTCTTTTACGTAAGCTCCGGATAAAACACACACACTATACGCGTGTTTGTTGTCCCAGCCATGCAAAGGCCACTCAGTCAGCTAATTATCCCAATGACAAAACAGCTCATTTAACTCGATTAACTTCCTCTTATATTCATATATATATATATATATATATATATATATATATATATATATATATATATATATATATATATATATATGTCGTACCTAGTAGCCAGAACGCACTTATCAGCCTACTATGCAAGGCCCGATTTGCCAAATAAGCCAAGTTTTCATGAATTAATTGTTTTTCGACTACCTAACCTACCTAACCTAACCTAACTTTTTCGGCTACCTAACCTAACCTAACATATTAAGATAGGTTAGGTTAGGTTAGGTAGGGTTGGTTAGGTTCGGTCATATATCTACGTTAATTTTAACTCCAATAAAAAAAATTGATCTCATACATAATGAAATGGGTAGCTTTATCATTTCATAAGAAAAAAAATAGAGAAAATATATTAATTCGTGAAAACTTGGCTTATTAGGCAAATCGGGCCTTGCATAGTAGGCTGAGAAGTGAGTTCTGGCTACTAGGTACGACATATATATATATATATATATATATATATATATATATATATATATATATATATATATATATATATATATATATATATATATTATATATATATAAGCATTTTACCCCGGTGAAAGGAGTGAATATGTCCAAGCTTTGTGTGAAATTATTAAACGACAGCTATTTTAAAATAGATAAATTCATCTCGCCTCGATTACCACATATTAAATCTTTCTCTTTTTGACACGGGACATGATTTTTATATTGCGAATAAAATACAGACAGCTTGAGGTCTGTGATCTATTACCTCAACAAACAATACTTTTCCTACACGAGGACAGGAGATAGACGGTGGAGGGTTGGGTATGAGGTTGACGGGTGGGTGGGTGTGTGACGGGTGAGTGACGGGTGAGTGACGGGTGAGTGACGGGTTGAGTGATGATGGATGATGGAGTGCACTTCTTCAGTGCACTCCACTTGTTGGTCACCCGTACAAGGTATGAGGTATTTCTTCACATTTCTTTGAGCGATTTGGGTTTCCTTATTCCACCTCTGTCCGCTTGTCCGACGCCATTGTTTATCTTGTCAATTCCCCTGAGTATCTCGTATGTTGTGATCATATCACTCGCAGTTAGGACACCAATCTTGTCGTCGCAAACCTTTGCACGTGTCGGTGGGTGATGGTGGATCAAGGGTAGTATATATACTTAGTAAACTTAGGATTGCAGTAAGTTTATATATATATATTAATCAGTAATTTCTTGACCTCTTTCGATCACTTTCCTCCCTCATTCCACCTTAAATTAATTCATCTATAATGCCCACATTCACTTCGTTCTAATTTACTGATACAGTGATACAATGCTGCCTGGTCTGCACTAACACTATACCACACCTTCTGCTAAACTCACCAAACACACTTCATACCATTTTCTCCACAGCATATAATCTTTTGAGCATCGTTGGGAGAAGCTGAAGCTACATCAATACCTTCAACTTTCTCAGATGTGAGCATGTTGACAGATGTCTCTTCTATAAATATATCAGTTTACATAATCTTGCGCTCTTCTCACACCATCAAATACAATGTCATTCACATATGCTTCTCTTCCTTCACTGCTACCCATTAGACTTTCAAAGTATTCTATGAAAATCATATGCTAAATAATTTTGCTTCTTAATTTGAAGTCCGAATCTCAAAGAGAAAACATTTATACACAGATCTAAGTTTACTGAACAAATGCACAGTAATGACTAATCCTGATTACATTAATACAAAATAAATACGTTCTAATGAACGATTGAACAAGTGTGCGCTTGTGTACATAAACAAGCGCACACAGTCTGCTTAGGATATATTATTGAACATTTACACTTGCTGACTATCGAGAAATACACTGAAATACTCAGCAATAGGCTAATCAGCCATACATGACGGGCACGGAACTCACCAACACACGCTGACTCCTTCCCACTGTGTTGTTGTTATAGATTCAGCTACTCGGAACAAGTTCCAAGTAGCACGGGCTATGGTGAGCCCGTAACTTATCTGGCACAGGAGCGGGGCAAGTAGCACGGGCTATGGTGAGCCCGTAACTTATCTGGCACAGGAGCGGGGCAAGTAGCACGGGCTATGGTGAGCCCGTAGTGGACTTATCTGGCACAGGAGCGGGGCAAGTAGCACGGGCTATGGTGAGCCCGTAACTTATCTGGCACAGGAGCGGGGCAAGTAGCACGGGCTATGGTGAGCCCGTAGTGGACTTACCTGGCACAGGCACAGGACCTACCCACTAAATATGCGTGTATACATAATGGTAATACTGATAAACACTCACCTCACCTCCGTTTTGTCTGGTATCAAATATCAACAAAATAAATAATGCACTCCAGTCATTTATTGGCCCAATAGACACAAATAGAATAATAGAGCAACATTGGCTGGCTGTAATATTAAGTCTTGTACTCTCTAAATCAACACAAGCCTAACCACCGTAAAATGTGAATCCACTACCACTCCAAAATCTATTTATCCTCTATATTTACGCGCCTAAAACTAATGATCGCCTGTCTATTGCCACTTTTAAAACACCTGAGGTTCGTTAGTGGTTTATACTAGACGAAGCTCCAGTATACATTGAGAGAATACCTCATTCCAGTCCATTTTCTAGTACGCTAGTTCTTGGCCTTGAAGTATATACGTAAAATATATATATATATAGCACGTCGTATATACGTATATACGACGTGCTATAAGGAGGACGGAGTTGCTCATTCCACCGTAACGAGCGTGTGTATAAAATTAGCAACCCGTCCTCCTAAAAAAAAATTTAATTCGTCCGTTTCATTTTGTCGTACACTTTACCAAAAGCCAAAAACTGTCGAACAAGAAAATGGTAGCGGCTTGCGAAATTGACATACTGTCCCGTTTTCTGTTCGCGGGTACTCCGGTAGGTTAAGATAAGGCACTTTAGTACGTCAGTTTCTTGACGTTGGGAACGCTGGCGAGAACGGGCTGAATGTCCCCGAGACGAGAGGTGGCAGACCCGCGGCTGACTCCACGATGTGACTTCCTGGACCCACCTCCTGTGAGGCCCACTTCCTGTGTGGCCCAGCTCCTGACGGGCCCAGCTCCTGTCCCTTCACAGCTCCTGTGTGGTCCAGCTCCTGTGTGGCCCAGCTCCTGTGTGGCCCAGCTCCTGTGTGGCCCAGCTCCTGTGTGGCCCAGCTCCTGTGTGGCCCAGCTCCTGTGTGGCCCAGCTCCTGTGTGGCCCAGCTCCTGTGTGGCCCAGCTCCTGTGTGGCCCAGCTCCTGTGTGGCCCAGCTCCTGTGTGGCCCAGCTCCTGTGTGGCCCAGCTAATGTGTGGCCCAGCTAATTGTGCTGGCGGGGGTGTGCGCCCAGCTCCTTGGTCCCGCCTCTCAACCGTCAATGACGGTGTACAGGTCTCCTGAGCCTATTGGGCTCTATCATATCTACACTTGAAACTGTGTATGGAGTCACCCTCCACCATATCACTTCCTAATGCATTCCTTTTGTCAACCACTCTGACACTAAAAAAGTTCTTTCTAATATCTCTGTGATATGCATATACTGCATATGCACATACTGCATATGCATATACTGCATGTGTGGCCCAGCTCCAGTGTGGCTAAGTAAGATCTTTACGATGACGAAGTCACTCTTCTCCGGCGGCGGGAAGGTCCAGGGTGTCACGGCCACCGGTGATGGTGACGTGTGTCACATGATGTGTAGACTCGTGGAGGAAGACACAGGGGCAAAACTGGATTGATGAATCAGACGTAAGTGCATCTCAGTTAGTGTCGTCTCGTATGATGACTCTATAATGCACTGAACTCCAAGTTATATTACGAGGCGTCTAACACGCTCATGTCTCAGAGATTCTCCACCAATCACAGACACGTAATCGCCATATGTCTGTGATGTAAACAAGTAAACAATCTAAAGGGCACCAAGCCTCTTGAATTCTTTTTTTTTTATTTATATACAACAAACAATAAATTTTCTTAGAAATACTTCATCGTTTGTCACTTGAAACCCTATCTTAACCCTACGAAATTTGTCCGCAGAAGAGGGGCATGATTTCTCTTCATAGGAGCAAAAGAGTTTCATCAAAACAGAAAAATCAACTCCATTTCTCTCCATAAATCTTTATATCTACAACCATTGTCATTTATTTTTCAGACACCAGATATGTCATTGTGAGCGTACCTTTCTGAGATGTTTATTTCAGAGCGCCCGTTAGTCTATAATAATTTCATGATTAATTGGAATGAATATCAATCTAGTTTTCTAAGTCTCCCCACCCCCCAAAAAAAAAATATATATATATATATATATATATATATATATATATATATATATATATATATATATATATATATATATATATTTCTCACTTCTCTCATCGTACATGCAATAACAATCGTTACCTTTACTCTTTCAAACAAGAATGACACCCCACAAACCACGTTCAACTGAAATAAGAGAAGTTATTCACCTCTGCATGTCGCTCTCAATTCACTTTCCATTATCTGTCTCTCAAAAACCTAACGCACCAAACTATCCTTCCTTTAAAACTTTCGCCGCTTCTAACCTCTCTTGTTTCCTGATTTATTTACCTTACATTCCCCTCAGCCCTGTGAACTTACATTTACTTCCAGTAACCTGCGAAGGCGCGGGCCCCTTACAGACCCGTGGCTCGTTTTCTATTTAAGGGAGAACAAAACTGAGGAATCTAGATCTCTACCTCGTAGCTATATTATTCACCATAACCATGACAAAGCTACAACCCAAAAATGGTACAACCACAGCCCAACCACAACCACAACCACAGCACCAGACCACCACATCATTCATCAGGGAGGCAGTATTCATGCCTCCACCCTGTACACTGTCAATACCAAGAGTCAACACTGAGCGAGGCACCTTCGTCTCCCCTCAATCATGCACGTTGGGCCAGCCAGCCGTTTTCTATATTCGCGGTCTAACTCCAAGTTTATTGATAACACGACCGATACCTGCCATGTATATACTTGGGATAATGAATGACACCTCTGTCCTGTCCGACGCGGCAAGGGAAGGCGAAGGAGGGGTCTAAGGGAAAGGGATTATGAGTAAGGGAAGGGGGGCTATGAATAAGGGAAAGAGGTTATGACTAAAGGGTAGAGAGCTATGAGTAATAGTAGGAGCTATGAGTAAGGGAAGGGGGGGTTGTAAGGGAAGGGAATTATGAGTAAGGGAAAGTGGTGATGGGTAAAGAAAATGTGGTTTTGGAGGGAAAAAGTTTAGGACATTTAATGCTCTCAAGGGAGGTGGGTATAGGAAGGTTTAGGTAACGAATATTTGTTGAATTAACATGGAGTTAGTATCTGTGGGGGGGGGGGGGGGGTCTTTAAATTTAGTTAATTTCTTATGCACCCCATACCCATCCCGTGAGCGGTAGTGAAAAAAAGGTTACAAAGGCACATAATGGGCTCAGGAACCGAACCTCAAAATTCATTTAGCTAACAGTTAAACAAATAACACTCTTGCAAAAGCTAGTTGTACACTGTAATATACATCAGTATCAATAGTCTTTTATGGCACAAGTGGTTCTGGTCCACAACAGTCTCTTAGCCGAGCACTACACACCTGTAGTGAGCCACTTACACACTTATAAATCATGAACCCCCCCCTAGACCCATACAGAAAGGGGTAAGAATGAAGAGTTACTCCCAGAGGTACTACAGCAGGTGGTACACATACACCCAGAGGTACTACAGCAGGTGGTGCACATACACCCAGAGGTACTACAGCAGGTGGTGCACATACACCCAGAGGTACTACAGCAGGTGGTGCACATACACCCAGAGGTACTACTGCAGGTGGTGCACATACACCCAGAGGTACTACAGCAGGTGGTGCATATACACCCAGAGGTACTACAGCAGGTGGTACACATACTCCCAGAGGTACTACTGCAGGTGGTGCACATACACCCAGAGGTACTACAGCAGGTGGTGCACATACTCCCAGAGGTACTACAACAGGTGGTGCACATACTCCCAGAGGTACTACAGCAGGTGGTGCACATACTCCCAGAGGTACTACAACAGGTGGTGCATATACACCCAGAGGTACTACAACAGGTGGTGCACATACTCCCAGAGGTACTACAGCAGGTGGTGCACATACTCCCAGAGGTACTACAACAGGTGGTGCACATACTCCCAGAGGTACTACAACAGGTGGTGCACATACTCCCAGAGGTACTACAACAGGTGGTGCACATACTCCCAGAGGTACTACAACAGGTGGTGCACATACACCCAGAGGTACTACAACAGGTGGTGCACATACTCCCAGAGGTACTACAACAGGTGGTGCACATACTCCCAGAGGTACTACAACAGGTGGTGCACATACACCCAGAGGTACTACAACAGGTGGTGCACATACTCCCAGAGGTACTACAACAGGTGGTGCACATACTCCCAGAGGTACTACAACAGGTGGTGCACATACTCCCAGAGGTACTACAACAGGTGGTGCACATACTCCCAGAGGTACTACAACAGGTGGTGCACATACTCCCAGAGGTACTACAACAGGTGGTGCATATACACCCAGAGGTACTACAACAGGTGGTGCACATACTCCCAGAGGTACTACAACAGGTGGTGCACATACTCCCAGAGGTACTACAACAGGTGGTGCACATACACCCAGAGGTACTACAACAGGTGGTGCACATACTCCCAGAGGTACTACAACAGGTGGTGCACATACACCCAGAGGTACTACAACAGGTGGTGCACATACACCCAGAGGTAGTTGTAGCCGCAATCATAATCCACCACCATCCTATAATAATCCAACACCACTCATTATAATCCACCACCATCCATCATAATCCAACACCAGTTACCATAATCTACCATTAATTCACCACAATCCACCACTATTCAGCAATCCACCACTTCGGCACCCCATCACCACAGCCGCCACCACCACCTGTCAAGACCTCCACAAACCCAGATTTGCCAAGACCAGCTTAGAATATAGGCTTCCTTGCTCTTCCTCTCTCCTTCTCTCCTTTACTCTCTCTTTCTCTCTCTCTCTCCTTCTCTCCTTTACTCTCTCTTTTTCTCTCTCACTCTCTCAGTGTTCCCCTCGTGGCTCTCCCGGCGGCAGGCACTAAATACTGTACCTTACAAGTATCCGCCGGTAGTTTAATTACACATCATAAATTTGACATTTTTGGCAGGTGGAGCAGTGAGGAAGTGTTGGTCCTCTCTTGAGGCCGGGATGGGGGGGGGGGGGGGTCTGGCCGCCACACTCTTATAGACGGTTTATTTACGTGTTGTGTGTGTGTGTGTGTGTGTGTGTGTGTGTGTGTGTGTGTGTGTGTGTGTGTGTGTGTGTGTTGTGTGTGTGTGTGTGTGTTGTGTGTGTGTGTGTGTGTGTGTGTGTGTGTGTTGTGTGTGTGTGTGTGTGTGTGTGTGTGTGTGTGTGTGTGTGTGTGTGTGTGTGTGTGTGTGTGTGTGTGTGTGTGTGTGTGTGTGTGTGTGTGTGTGTGTGTGTGTGTGTGTGTGTGTGTGTGTGTGTGTGTGTGTGTGTGTGTGTGTGTGTTGTGTGTGTGTGTGTGTGTGTGTGTGTGTGTGTGTGTGTGTGTGTGTGTGTGTGTGTGTGTGTGTGTGTGTGTGTGTGTGTGTGTTGTGTGTGTGTGTGTTGTGTGTGTATGTGTTGTGTGTGTACTCGCCTAATTGTGCTAGCGGGGGTTGAGCTTTGGCTCTTTGGTCCCGCCTCTCAACTGTCAATCAACTGATGTGTGTGTGTGTGTGTGTGTGTGTGTGTTTGTGTGTGCGCGCAGGATTGAGTGTGACTCAATTTTCATTACTTTCAAGATATTCTTTAATAATTACTTGAGTTATTTTCCGATATATATTTAACCACCTCCCCCCCCCTCCCCCCTCACAAACACACACACACATCCGGTTGATAAAGCAAAAAAAAAACTCTCAATAATTTACCTCGATGTTTTACGCGGTGCAATGAATGAATGAATTATCAGGGGAAAGCGCCAAGCCATTAGACTATATAGCACTCGGAAGGGGTCAGGATATGGATTTGGGATGGGACCAGGAGAAGGAATGGTGCCCAACCACTTGGATGGTCGGGGATTGAACGCTGACCTGCATGAGGCGAGACCGTCGCTCTACCGTCCAGCCCAAGTGGTCGTCCAGCCCATTTTTCCTTGTCATAAGACTATACCGCCCCAAGTCTGAACACACCACACTTATATCTTATATATATATACTCAAAAGGCCAGGATGTTTATAGGTATATATACATTTTCAATCACTCACCGGTCTCATCTACCAAACAGATGAGTGATTATAATTTACAGATGAGTGAATATAACTTACATGTCAGTGATTATAACTTACATGTGAGTGATTATAACTTATAGGTGAGTGATTATAACTTAGAGGTGAGTGATTATAACTTACAGGTGAGTGATTATAACTTACAGGTGAGTGATTATAACTTACAGGTGAGTGATTATAACTTACAGGTGAGTGATTATAACTTACAGGGAAGTGATTATAACTTACAGGTGAGTGATTATAACTTACAGGTGAGTGATTATAACTTACAGGTGAGTGATTATAACTTACAGGTGAGTGATTATAACTTACAGGTGAGTGATTATAACTTACAGGGAAGTGATTATAACTTACAGGTGAGTGATTATAACTTACAGGGAAGTGATTATAACTTACAGGTGAGTGATTATAACTTACAGGGAAGTCATTATAACTTACAGGTGAGTAATTATAACTTACAGCTGAGTGATTATAAGTTACAGGTGAGTCATTATAACTTACAGGTAAGTTATAAGCGTGAATACCTTATACAGGTGAGCGAATACATTATACAGGGGAGTGAATGCATTATACAGGTGAGTGAATACATTATACAGGTGAGTGAATGCATTATACAGGTGAGTGAATGCATTATACAGGTGAGTGAATGCATTATACAGGTGAGTGAATACATTATACAGGTGAGTGAATACATTATACAGGTGAGTGAATACATTATACAGGTGAGTGAATACATCCTACAGATGAGTGAATACATTATACAGGTGAGTGAATACATAACACAAGTGAGTGCTTACATAATACACGTGAGTGAATACATAATACAGGGGAGTGGGTACATAATACACAAATGAATGAGTGCATAATACATATGAGTGAATATATATTCATATGAGTGAATACATAATCATGTGAATGAATGTATAATACAGGGAAGTGAATACATTTCACAGATGATGGGTTACATGATACAAAATGGGATATTTTTGTAATATCGAGATATTAAACAAAAATAAATAAAAAAAAACAGAGGATTACAACACACAGATGCTTAGATTTAACATCCAGACGTGGGATTACAGCAAACATAAAAGGATTTCAACATCCAGAAGCGTGATTACAGCAAACATAAAAGGATTTTAACATCCCCAGAAACGGGATTACAGCAAACATAAGAAGATTTCAACATCCAGAAGCGTGATTACAGCAAACATAAAAGGATTTTAACATCCAGAAACGTGATTACCCAGATTTAAACAGGGATTACAGCAAACATAAGAAGATTTCAACATCCAGAAGCGTGATTACAGCAAACATAAAAGGATTTTAACATCCCCAGAAACGGGATTACAGCAAACATAAGAAGATTTCAACATCCAGAAACGGGATTACAGCAAACATAAGAGGATTTTAACAGAACAAACAAGACGATTTACAACATCCGGACGCGAGATCACAACATACACCATACACAAAGAGGATTTACAACACACACACACACATCCTTGCAGTTAAATTATATATACAAGCGAAAGATTTGAACACAATGGCAAGTGACTTACAAAATAAATCCACCATATTCCACTGTTTCCAGATTCATTTTATCCCTATCATGGCGGTGACCGGGATTTAGTAATGACCGGGATTTAGTAGGATTACCCCCGGACGTGTGATCAAGCGTTACAAGAGCAGAGATAAAACCTCTGATGCCAGACACGTATAATTCTTGTTTTTCTTTTCTCCATCTATAGATCACACACGTGGTGATCATGTCACGTTAGTTTTAGTTGTATGTTGTCGAAATACCCTGTCACCTACCCCCCCCCCCCGGCAGGATAATTAGCGCTAGTCTGTTTGTTGTTTGTTAGTTTGGGTGCTCGTGTGTGTGTGTGTGTGTGTGTGTGTGTGTGTGTGTGTGTTGTGTGTGTGTGTGTGTGTGCGTGTGTGTGTGTGTGTGTGTGTGTGTGTGTGTGTGTGTGTGTGTGTGTGTGTGTGTGTGTGTGTGTGTGTGTGTGTGTGTGTGTGTGTGTGTGTGTGTGTGTGTGTGTGTGTGTGTGTGTGTGTGTGTGTGTGTGTGCTTGTCTGTAACTGTTTTTGCATTTGTCTGGTGTTTGCACTTGTCACTATATATATCTACCTTGTTATTATATTTTTCCTTCGTGAATGTGTCTTCGCATGTAGCTGTCTGTCTGTCTTTGTATGCAGACACGCAACCTGTCAAACCGTCCGTCAACATGTCTGTCTGTCTGTCTATCTGTCTATCTATCAGTAACTGTGTCTCCATCTGTCTGTCTGTACCTATGTCTATTTGTGTATTTCTTAGTTTTTCTCACTATGAATCTCTCTCTTTATGTGTGTCCGCCTGTCTGTCAAAAAGTCTATCTACAAGTCTGCGTGGCTCATAAGGTTAGGGAAGTAGCCATGCAGAACGCTGCGGGTTCGACACTCGGCGAAATGAAGCGAACGACATCTAGTCTAGAGTTGAGGTTCATGTGATTGATAGATCTTGATGTTACTGGTGTTGGGCTGAGTTGATGACTGCTTAGTTGACAGCGAGTCAGAATAATGACGGATTGAGACAATAGATTGTGGTTAAGGTTGGTTGTATGGCTCGTAGATTGTAAATATGGGTGGCTGTATGGCTCGTAGATTGTAAATATGGGTGGGTGTATGGCTCGTAGATTGTAAATAAGGGTGGTTGTATGGCTCGTAGACTGTAAATAAGGGTGGGTGTATGGCTCGTAGACTGTAAATAAGGCTGGGTGTATGGCTCGTAGATTGTAAATAAGGGTGGTTGTATGGCTCGTAGACTGCAAATAAGGGTGGGTGTATGGCTCGTAGATTATAAATAAGGGTGGTTGTATGGCTCGTAGACTGTAAATAAGGGTGGGTGTATGGCTCGTATACTGTAAATAAGGCTGGGTGTATGGCTCGTAGATTGTAAATAAGGGTGGTTGTATGGCTCATAGATTGTAAATAAGGGTGGTTGTATGGCTCGTAGATTGTAAATAAGGGTGGTTGTATGGCTCATAGATTGTAAATAAGGGTGGATGTATGGCTCGTAGACTGCAAATAAGGGTGGGTGTATGGCTCGTAGATTGTAAATAAGGGTGGTTGTATGGCTCGTAGATTGTAAATAAGGGTGGTTGTATGGCTCATAGATTGTAAATAAGGGTGGTTGTATGGCTCATAGATTGTAAATAAGGGTGGGTGTATGGCTCGTAGATTGTAAATAAGGGTGGGTGTATGGCTCGTAGACTGTAAATAAAGTTGGGTGTATGGCTCGTAGACTGTAAATAAAGTTGGGTGTATGGCCGTGCTTGGTTGACCCGTCAACTGCTTGGATAAATATATGATCGTTATGAAAAGAACTTTAGGTTGAAGTTGATTCAAAGACGGAACTTAAGTATTATCAAATACATAATTATAAAGAGGTGAGAGTATGTCACATGATAAAAGACAGAAGGCAATGCCAAAACGAAGCTGACAGCCGTTGACAGTGGACAGTAGTGACTAACAGGGACTGACAGTGATTAGAATTAACTAACAGGGACTGACAGTAGTTAGCAGAGATGAACATGGACTGATAATGACAGACATAGGTATTTACGTATGTAGGTTAGCTTAGTATTTTAAAAGCACCGAATCACCTTCTGTGGTTGATTGTTCAATAAACCCCTGAACTATATGTTTAACACATCTCTAACCCTGTCCATGGAGGACAGAAGAAAATGTATATATATGCTGATTAGCATTGTAAATGTGTGGCCACGTCTGTGGTAGAAAATAATAATAATAAAAAAAACTTCTTTATTTTCCAAGTTTCCGAAGTAGACAAAACCTCACCAACATGGGGATCCTTCTCGCCTGTCCCTACACTACCATTTTGGTCTTATCCACCAACATGGTCCCCTTCTTCCCCTCAGTAAACATCACCCCCCCCCCCACTAATATGAAGCCCCCCCCTCACCCCTTCACCACATCGCAGACCTTAAACACTAGGGATATCGCTCCACTCCACGAGAGGTAGTAAAGCACTGACCCCAATAACACTACAGATCTATCATACCATCACCCTGTATTAAAGTTAATCAGAAGGTGCCAAGGAATTATACAGTCTGGGTCGACATTGCTTTAGCGCACGAAGACCTTTTGATCCTCACTAGGGACTCTTCCCAGGGACCTTTTCAGGGACCCCTCACCAACTCCCTTCCCCTGCCCCCCACCCTCCCTGGCGCCATAGGGGGAGACACACGGCGCCAAAATACTCCCAATATACCGTAACCAGATTGCCAAAATTCCCCAATAATAATAATAATTAAAAAAATGCATAATGATATCAGTAGTGGCGGTAAATTATGCAAATTAGCGGCACGGATGGCTTTCAAAACAGTTTAGCTTCGAGCGTAATTGTCGAGGACAATGTTTTGATGAATATATATGTATACACTGGCACCTCAGTGTCAGTTGTTGAGTGTCTGTTGCTGACCGCAGGTGTTAAGTGCGTTCTGTCTTAAGTGTGTACTGTCTTAAGTGCTTCGACCTGTCTTAAGTGCGTACTGTCTTAAGTGCTTCCTGTGCTGTGTTAAGTGCTTCCTGTGTTGTGTTAAGTGCTTCCTTTGTTGTGTTAAGTGCTTCCTTTGTTGTGTTAAGTGCTTCCTGTGTTGTGTTAAGTGCTTCCTGTGTTGTGTTAAGTGCTTCCTGTGTTGTGTTAAGTGCTTCCTGTGTTGTGTTAAGTGCTTCCTTTGTTGTGTTAAGTGCTTCCTGTGTTGTGTTAAGTGCTTCCTGTGTTGTGTTAAGTGCTTCCTGTGTTGTGTTAAGTGCTTCCTTTGTTGTGTTAAGTGCTTCCTTTGTTGTGTTAAGTGCTTCCTGTGTTGTGTTAAGTGCTTCCTGTCTCAAGTGTGTACTGTCTTAAGTGCTTCCTGTGTTGTGTTAAGTGCGTTCTGTCTCAAGTGTGTACTGTCTTAAGTGCTTCCTGTGTTGTGTTAAATGCTTCATATGTTGTGTTAAGTGCTTCCTGTGTTGTGTTAAGTGCTTCCTGTGTTGTGTTAAGTGCTTCATATGTGTTAAGTGCTTCCTGTGTTGTGTTAAGTGTTTCCTGTCTTAAGTGCGCACTGTCTCAAGTGCTTCACGTGTTGTGTTAAGTGCTTCCTGTGTTGTGTTAAGTACTTCCTGTCTTAAGTGCATACTGTTTTAAGAGCTTCCTGTCTTAAGTGCGTCCTGTCTTAAGTGCTTCCTGTGTTGTGTTAAGTGTTTATATGTTGTGTTAAGTGCTTCCTGTGTTGTGATAAGTGCTTCCTGTCTTAAGTGCTTCCTGTATCGTGTTAAGTGCTTCCTGTGTTAAGTGCATTCTGTCTCAAGTGCTTCCTGTTTTGTGTTGTGTTTCCTTATTGTGTGTCAAGTGTTTTTTGTGTTAAATGTGTCAGGTGTTAAATGCTTGCTGTGTTATGCTGGATATTTTCTGTGTTTTGTTAAGTGTATCCTGTGTTTTATGAAGTGTATCCTGTGTTTTGTTAAGTGTATCCTGTGTTTTATGAAGTGTGTCCTGTGTTGTATTGTGTCCTGTGTCTTGTTAAGTGTTTCCTGTGTTATGCTG